CCCTAAGCCTTTCACGATCGATCAGGTCTCGAATGGCTTTCACAAGGAACGAATACGTCTTGCTTGGATCACCCTCCTTTGCCCGATCATAGGTGTCAATATCATACTTGAGTAGCGTGCTCGGACGGATCTGACGGAGCAAAACATGAAGAAGGACTGTTTCTTCGGGTCTTCGGGCTCCTTCTTCATACCGGCCAACACTGCATCCCAACGGTTGATGAATTTCTTGAGGTCTGCGATGGTATCCCCGAACTTCGCTACCTTTAAAAGGTCTGCTAGTGAGTAGAGAGTACCAGCTTCCTCAGATGTTTTGAAGTAGTCATCAAACATAAGAAGTACTGTTCGACCTCTGGTCTGATGCCCCTTCTTTGCTTGCTCCTCCTTGTGATTAAGGATTCTGTTTCCCAGGTCACCACGGGCTGACTTTGTGAGAGCAGCGGTGAGCTTCCTGTCCAAGGTCACGAACTTTCCTGGATTCTGGAGCTTTGCCTCGAGTTCAACACGAGAGAGATTCGGACCCCAAACTTCCATAATCCACTCCCATGCTTCGTCGGGCTTGTCGGACGACGATCGAACAAGTTCACGAACCAGATTCTTCCACTGACGGTAAGTCTCGGGCGTGGGCATGTCCGGAATGGCAATCGTATCGGCTTCTTTGACCCTTGGTTTGCCTTCATCGTCTTTCTTGGACTTCATTTCTCTAAGTAACTCTGCAAGACCACTCATTAGTGCGTTGGTTTCACCCGAAGAAGCCGGGACTTTGCCATCGACTCCTCCGTCACCAGCATGAGACAGTCGTTCGTCGGCAGTTTCGCGCGCGTCAACGAAATGCTCATCCTTACCTTGGGCAGGCTCCAACGCTGCAGGAAGTGGTACTGCTGCAGGTGCTCGTGATGGATAGAAGTCACCGAGTTTCTGAGCGAACCTTGCATCTAGCCTCGCTTTCCAATCAATCTCTGTTGGTTGGGGCATGGCCTCACGGCCTGCTGGCTCGGATATCACTGGGGTAGCCGAACCTGGCAGGTGATGCGGTGCTTCAGCCTCGTGTACTGGAATCAATCCATCAAGCTGATCTTGGAGGAGTGCGTTGGTCTCTGATGCCTTTCGCAGTTCCTGTTCAAGATGCTCTTTCCTTTCAGTCCACTCGGTCTCCATGATTTGGTGCTGCCTACGTTCTTCTTCAAGGAGTGCTCTAGCTTTGTTAGAAGCGTCCTCCACCATCTTGTCAATCATCTTTTCCAGCTCACTCATCTTCTCGTTCATCCTCTGCAGGTGAAGCTTTTCTGCTTCTGCCTTCTGCTCCGACATTCTCTTTTGATGTAGGCTGTCTGCACTGGCAACTTTGGCCTGACTCTCAGCCAGCTGCCCTTCTAACAAGTTGATCCGACCCTGCATGGCCAGGACTTGCTTGTCGCAAACTTCCCTCATCTGATCAATGGCAACTCTACATTGCGAACCTAAGGCTTGAATAGTAGAGTGCATGATCTCTCGATGCCTCTGTTCCGCTTCATAGCGGACAGCTTCTTCGTTTCCCGAAGCGATCTGATGAACATTGTTCTGAATAAACTGAAAGTATGCTGTGACGCCTTCAGACCCCATAACAACATCCTCGGGCACGAGGTTGCCCCCGGCGACCGGTACGGTATCGCCAGAGTATGGGATGAGGGCGAGCGCGGCATTCACACCATCATCTGTAGCCATGGCAGAGGCTACGGCTGATAACCTGTATTTTCAGGCTCAACCACTAAAATACAGTCAAATTCCGCTAAGCTGCAACTGCTAGCGCTCCTTTTTGTCGCGATGAGCTGCGTGCTTGAGCCAAGAATTGGCATGGTGCGTAAAAGCATAGCATTAGGTGATGTATTTCAACAGTTCTCAGTGTTGCTATGTGTTGCCACAACATTCAATTAAATGGAACTATGCACATTGGAACTATGCAACCATGAGTTCATGTTGCCAGTAAAGTCAGGTTTGAGACTTGACAGCGAGAAACCCACATTGTTGTTATAGTAAGTGTCATTGGCCGCGTAGTTGATGACAAAATCCGTTGCCAGCAACGTGCTGCCTGACGTGCTGAACCATTTGTCGGAGAGGTCCCTGACCAATCTTGCATCGTTGGAAGTGAGGCTATCAGCCAGCGCCGCGAAGGTCGCTTCAAGTGCTTCTGACGGGCAAAGGATGTACACAAATCGCACCGGAGGGCAAGCATGGACAATTTGGATACCCATGGGAACTTCAAGAAATCTGCCCATCACAATGGTAAGCAACCTGCCCATTTTTTTCACCTCAAACTCTCCAGGCCTCCGAAACCATTGGGTCAACTATACACATGTTTTCCGAAAGAAATAGAACTAAACAATGTCTTATTACAATGATAAGCCTGTTTTTTCTAGTAGGTTGCCAGGATAAACTCCACTTTCTGCTCTACAATAATAAACCTGCTTTTGACTCTATGTGACTCTATGTGGCGTAATTAGTACGCATCAATAATGGACATTGACTTACTTTTCGTTGCAGTTTAATCATTCTAGTAGGTTACAATAAAAAACTTAACTTTCCGCGCTACAATTATGCATAGAAATGCGATATACACGCACACATTGTGATATGCGGTCTAAGCCCGCAGGACAAGAAAAAAGGACATGCAACTTGAGACCGGATGGCATGGGCGAAAGGTAGGGTAATGCTTGCCTGTGTAAGAGTGTATTTCAGCATTAGCTTGCAGTGCCCACCGCACAGCTTCTAACACCTTTTGCACCTTCACAGCAGCACCTGTTATCATCATCATCGGAATACCTTGTAACTTCCCTCCCAGCACTTTAAGCCTGCCACACATGCAACTTGAAGCACATGTCAGCACCTCAACCCCTGTCATTCATTCAGAGTATTTTACAAGAGTGTCACACCCGAGTGTCCTATGCTCCTCACATTTCTCGCTATATGCATAAAGCACAAGCCCCAGTTTTCTATGGTATAAGGCATTGTATTCGGGTTTGTGGCTTCGAGCAAGTTTGTTTGATCCTGCGCAGGGTGCGCCAAAATCCAGCCTGCACCTGTCCTGAAATCTGACCTTAACAACACCTCGACAGGCTACTCAAAACACAAAATAGTAGTATCTAAATTAAGTTAAAGTTAAAGTATATAAATTACTGTAACACTTCAACTCCGACCTTTGTTGAGTCGAAGTCTTCTGAAGGCCGGCCATACCAGCCAGTTGAGGCTTTGTGAAGGTCAAATGTATGTAATGCGCGCGAATGCAGGTATTAAAAACTATATTCGCTGCCATGTGCCTTACTTCAGGATTTCAACTCATGCGCATTGAGTCTATTGATGTGGAGGAAACCTGATCTTGAATTCATAGCAACCTGGTATGGCGCTCGTCCCTGGACCAAAATGCGCCCTAAAAACAGCACCTGCATTAACACAGTGCATAGTAAGAGAGGAGACATTGAAGGAAAAATAGGACAGGAATATGATGATATCATATGTCGTACCGCGTCCCAAGCAAAATTAGAAAAAGTCACTGCACGTACAATCCTCAAACTATGTTGATGTTTGGGGGGTGGGTTCCCGTTAGCTACTATACATACATGCTTGTAGCGTTGCCATATTCAGTCTATTCTTCCCAAATGATCCAACTGCACATCTTGCCCTTCAAAAAAACCTCAAGGGCCCCAAACAGCAAGCATCACATCAACAAGCAACTCAACACACCGATGGCCTCGTGAGGTCTCCAATTCCTTCATCAAAGTGATCACATCCGGCAACAAAGTGGTCGTGGTGGTCGTTGTCCATCGTCGATACCTCCGATGTTGCCGACGTTGCTGTCGACCTGGATTCCAGGCATGTGAAATCCACTCTAAGTCCAGTTATTGACGAATCTTAGCTCCAGCAAGCAAATGGACACCTATGGCATCTGTACACGACTGGATGCGCGCACAAGCCGTACCACCTCTACTTTCTGATGTTCTACTTCCACCCTCATTCCCTCATGCAACGGCGTCTGTAGCTCAGGGCCTTAGCATGGAAACACAGCGCGCAAAGAAGCAACAGGAACACAAAAAATAGTGTTGAGTAGAAGATCAGAACATATCAACACAAATCTGTTAAAGGAAAACAGGTAAAACAACCATCGCGCTCGGAATCGAAGATTTTCCTCTGAAACCATCGACCACTTCGTGGATTCCACTGACGATCACTCACGTGGCGTCCAAGCAACGGTGGCGTCGGTGCAACCGATCACGTTGCGAGTACGGGTCATCCACAAGCCTTTTGGCATGAATCTGCACCAAACCTTCCGCGTCACTCTCTGAGAGGTTGCAAAGAGATCCACAGCTCGAGGCTGGCACAATCAGCGCAAGAATGAGTCGCGCCACACATGTCATTCAAACTAATCAAAACAAAATTGCCAAGTGCTGAGAGGCCAAGATGGCTGCAAACTGCTGGCGACATACATGTGCCAGTCTTGGGGCACGAAACTCACACTTTTGCCCCGCAACCTTTCACGATTTACGATTATGACTCTTACATTAAAAATGACCAGCGCATGCATCTTTGATGCTTTGCACTTTTTGCAGAGTGACAACCAACTTAACTTGAACAAATCGAGGGAGGTAAGACATGATGCTCTGGGACCCTGGGAATGTTGGATACGGCAAGAGTCTCCCAAGTGTGGATCATCCAGCTCCTGGATGCCCAATGCTCGCAAGGTTCTCGTCCTCCAATGGACGAGGATTGGCGGCACAGGTCCTGACAAAGGTCATGTGTCGTCACGAGCGCACCAGGCCCAAAACTGCCATATGATTATCATAGCCACCTCTTGGTTGTTGATCCACTTTGGGAATGAGTACGGAAGGCTGGTGAAACAGCAGTCAAGGCAACTAAACACGATCGGAATGGCTCAGGCATGTTGCCCTCATATGGACATATACGGACAAGGACTATTGGCTGTCTTGAAGAACCCTTCCCAAGCCGTGGCCCTTTTTCTCGACACGGTGCGATCACAGTTTTTCGCCGCGATCGCCCTCTTCACTGGCGGAAGCGATGGCCCTTGCCAACTCATCCACCCTCCGAGGACGAAGAAACTGCTCAGCAAAGGCATTGGCAAGTTCATGGTGCAACATAGAACTGGGATGATACCTCGCTTGTCCACAAGACAAAGGCAAACGTTCTCAGGTCCGCTACATCATAATCCAAACTCTGAAAACTCAAGGACTCAAGGATTGTAAAACATGCAACATAGAAACAACACCACACTTGCAAACGATGCCAAAGAAAAAAACACATCTTGAACATGAAGACGTTTACCAACCTGGAGCAATCGTAGCCGTCTGTTGCTACACTTATGCGGCAAAAAACGCCTTTCTTGCAACCTTCAAGATGCTCATCGAACCAAATGGCTGCCCCATCTGCCGCTGACAATTGCGCCAACCTGGCCTTTTCCGGCAGCTCCTCTGGGGTGAAGGGCATCAGCTCATAAAGACAACGCTTCACCCGCGCGCTGTGCTTCCTGGACATGCTTCGAAAGACCTGATGGCATCCGGAACCGGCCGGAACCGGAACCGGCCTCCGACCAGCTGGTGGCGGACTGGCCGTTTTATGTGGGGGTCTGCATCAGCTGGTGGCCGTAGCAGCATGGCAGCAGCTCAGAATTCAATGCCATCCCAATTCCATCAAATTCCCCTCAGCAAAAGGAGGGGGAAGTTGAGTATATCAAGGACATGGACCAAGACCTGCAGGTCCTGGGTCTAATTACTTGAGACACGCCCGCATCATAATCATGTTTGCTTTATGAATGCTGAATCCTGTCCTCTTCCCCATTCCCTTTAGGACCCTGCCCACCTTCTCTTGCGTCCATCGGGGCAAAGGTACCAAGGCATCAATGACCTGCAAAGGCACCCGGCAGCAAGTCCCACTTCTCACCCATTCACTCACCTAAAACATTACGAAACACATTATGTAAAACATATACAGTATAAAGGATTTCCTTGGCCCTGGCAGTCCTCAACAATTCGTGACAATCTTGTGACATCGATGGGTAGCAAATCAGTCTGGGTCCCCAGTTTGTCCCATGGGTAGTAGCTCTACCGTCAATTCGTTGTTCTCCGTTTCCCAGCCCGGGTGGAGGTCGATCCGGCGCTTGAGAGCTGAGGGAACGCGTGAGAGCTGGGAGTGACAAGTGTCACAAATTCCATGTGCCCATCCCCACCTCATTGATGGCATCTTGTTGATGACACAACCACTCCAGATCAAAGTCCATGGACTGTATGCCAGGAAGGCACTCCAAACCCTGCAAGCCAGTCAGGATGATTCTCTCTCTATTCACTCCCAAGGCCACGAGGTCCGAAACGATTTGCTTGCAATTGGAAATGTATGGACTTGCAGCCGCCTCCTCCAGCGTGGAACCTATTGCTGCTGCACCGCTGTAGACCACGTCATTTCCCACAGATCCCACAATCACCAAAGTATCAGGATCTTGCCACTGCTCTGTTGCCAGGACACGACTTGCCTGCCGAATCTGTTGTGCAACACCTCTGGGCCAAAATATATATCCGTCCAATCCCATACTGCTTGAGATGCCAACATAGCCAGGAGGCACCGCGATGGATTGGCAGGTCGTCGCTCCAGAATGGCTAAAGTTCATCACCTCTAACCCCAGCCACTCCCCAAGCAAATGTGGCCAAGATAAACCATCGGAGAAGCAACCCTGATACCAGCCCAACTCTTTGAAGGGATAGGCCGAGCCATAGTCTTTCAGCAGTCGTTGCAGTGGCTCCACCATCGCTTCGGAAGGGTAGTCAGGGTCAAAAGTGCCCAAGGAGCCAACCAAGCCATAGCCCAAGTCGCCACCCTCCACATGGCTATCTCCAAAGAAGACCAACAATTTGGGAGCAAGGTTCGCCATGGACACGAGAGAGGCGGCCGACCCCCGGCCAAAGCGGCGACCTTCAGCCGTGACTGCGGAAGGACAGGAGGTGAGGTGTTTCGCGCATTTTCATCCAACGGTCTGACATCGTTCTTGAAGATTCGGGTGTACAGCGTACTCAACTAGCCTAACAAGCTAGCAATCAGCCTATAGCACCAACAACACCCGACAAGTGCAGCCATGAATGGCGCTGGCCCAGGTTTCATGTAAGTAGAGCCCCATCCCATCAGCATCTGCAAATAGACCAACCACTGCCAATAGAGGAAACACAAACAAAACGGAATCTAACCCCCAACGATTGAAGGTCAAAGCAGGCAGCGTCAAGAATTCCGTTCGCATCCTTTTGGCCACCCCAAAAAACATAAATAGAAAAAGGACGTGTGCTTCCGATCTTCCTCGGGTGAAACCCAAACCCATGGTGTTTTCTAAAACAAAACACCGTTGATTCTGTGTCTGACATGTCTTCCAAGCACTTCAGTCCTGCGTCAGTCCGTCCTACGGTCCCACGTCTCTCCGCTGCGGTCCGCCAGAATGCCAGAGGAAGCTGCGCGGGGGAACCCGGGTGATGCGTGGCGGGCCAACGACGACGGATCTAGCCTTTCTGAGCTTCACATGGTCAGTGTCTTGTATTCTTGTCATGGGGATTTGCCAAATGGTCCTACTTGCCAAGTTCTTTCAAGACTTGGAGGGTTGATTGATAAGGACGGGAACACGTATTGGTTGATTTCCTTTCCTATGAGCCAGTGGAAGTTTGCATGAATTCATTGGACAACTAGCAAGGCGGTGGTGGCAAATTTCAACCACAAGAGGCCTCTACTTGAATGGACCGGTCTGACCGTCCAGCTCTTCTTATTTCAACCGGGTCTGACCGTCTGACCTGCAAAACATCGTGATTCTGCTCTCTTAGAATGGTACGAGCATGACTCATTACAGAAAGAGGAAGAAACCATGACAGACCGGTGCGACGAACGTGGGGGAGAATAAGATGGAATACGCTCCCAGGGACTCCTTTGGATCCAGCCACCCTCAGCCACCCTCCAAGTCACACCAGTCAAATGAAGGGGACAATGACAAACGCGTTGGCTGCTGCTAAGGCCAATGGGGACAAGCACAGGACCAATCAGCAAGCATTCACTGAGCATTGCCCAATAGGAACATTGACCTCATGAGAATAGGTTTCTTTTTGGGGCTTGTAGGTAAGTTAATGACACATTAAGAAACACATACCTACCACCTACGAGAGGTGGTGAATCAATACCTCTTGACCGCCAACCCAACGAACGCACCAGTAAGGGGCCTGATCTGATCTCCGAGACCTGGAGCTTCTTCCGCGGAGGTCCCGGAGGCACCTGCATGGGGAGACCGGAGCTGGGATGGCGACTCGTGGATGAAACAGTGGGATGGCACGAGTGTCTCTGGAGGGAGATCGACAGAAAGCACCACTTGGGGTTGGGTGCCATCCATCAAGAGAAATCACAGTTTCGTTCTCTTGGGCTGCCTACTCCAACAGTAAGTGACGTCCAGTCGCTACCTCACAGATCCTTAGTATTGAGAGCATCTGCTCTCGGCTCAACCAATGGTCATAAATCGCCTTCAGCAGATCCCAGAAATCGCTACAACATTGCACCACCAGACAGGTGCCATCCAGTTGGTGTCTTTCTTCCACAGCTCGGTCGCAGGCAGACCCCCTTCTGGCCTACGGTAAGCGTCGGGTGGCATCCAGCGCCAAGGTATCAAGGTCTTGAAGGAGTTGCACTGTGAACCTCAGGAGAAGCAATGACATAGCATAGCAATGACATCTATAGAAGCAAGAAACATCTGATCATTTTGTTTTGCTCAATGTTTTGTGATAGTCTATGCATTTCTCCTTGTTTTCACATTTCTGGCCTCATCTCATCTCACATGTGCTTAGGCTTCGGTCAGCTTTGTTTTGGTGTCGCTGTGTGCAGCTTATCTTTGCTGACCGATACCTCTTGTTGAGCCCACTAGTGCCCCCCCGTGTCATTGTGTAACACATCGAATAGGACCAAATGTCGCCAACAAACCTTGTTGGTGAATTTCAACACTTCAACCGATTACAGTAAACCCGCAGGTTGTTCCATTCTCCTTCCCTTGAAAAAAAACATTTGCTTCATTCTTTCGTTTCCTGTCGTTTCGATTCCCCATCGACCTCCGCCGGCCGTCGGCCGTCGGCGAGTCGTCCGGGGCACTCCGGGTCCGACCACGTGGCCACGAAGCTCAAGGCCAAGGCGTCGGGCAGCACCTGGGGACGCTGCGAGCCGGCCGCCCACGTAGCGATGCCAGGAGCTACTACTAGATCTACTAGTAGTAGTGTCCGATCGCTCCTAGTAGTCATGCCCAGGGGCATCGATGGCCTCCAAGGTAATAGCGATGGCCTCGACCGTGCGTACCTAGCGTCCTTGCTCCAATGATTTGAAGACCGTCGACTGATGGTCTTATGCCACGCCCATCTGGGCAAATCCCGACCAACATCTGGCCATTCGATGTTCGATGTCGGAAACTCTGTCTGCGAGGTGACGAAGTGCCTCCTTCGCACGAAAACAGAGAAAAGGCCTAGCTTCGGCACGAAAACAAAGAAAGCCTCACAAAAGAAAAGGACTCAACGGTTGTTTTTGTTGGGCGCTGTGTGACCGGATTCGGCAAAGACTTCCATCACTCCGCTGCATGGAGATCAGCTAGCTGAGCTAGCAGCTCTTTTATGCAGCGGGTCACAAATAGAGACGGTAGAGATGTATGGAACCTACTACATATCCACCAACATGACAAAGCCACACGGCTAAACCTAAAACATCCTAAAACCCTGCGGAATTTACTGCTTCTCTGATGATCTTCCATGGTTTACCCGCACATCGAAGCATTGCGCACGCGCATACCTGTAATCCTGTCCAATGGTGAATTTTCCCCGTACACCGTATACCTAGGTTCACAAGTATGAAAGGTGTTGCTTTATTCGGAGACAGGTTCAAACGTATGAGTCCGTCACTTCGATACAAACTTATGATGTGATACAGGCAAGTGGCATGCAACTTATACAAGGCACATAAATGAAGCTGGGTAGGACTCGCCGCAGAATACTCTCCGCCCAGGTTGATGGAATATCGTAAGTGCAGGTGTTGTGCATCAGAAAGTAAATTTGTCCAAATTTGATATTGGTCCTGTGTAGTATACATCCAACACTACGTATACACTGTCTGTCCCGTCCTGCCAAGTCCCACAGGAATTATTTTGGTCATTCAAGGTGTAGGACGTGTGCTGGGATGTGCCATCAGCTTGATGCGGCCAGGCTACGTCCGCTGCCGCAGCGTGACCGATGTCGTCCCCCAGCACAGGACCGAAGAGAACATATCAATTTTTCTGAGAAACAGAATGCAGGGCCGACAGACTTTATTTTTTTCCCTCCCTAGGGCTCCAACCACATCGTCCGCAGGTGGTATATGAATCATATGAATTTATATTAAATGCAACCGCTTCACACAAACACACCAAAACTATACAAAAACTATCAAACACTCTCATTCTCCTGACTCAAATCAATCCCCAAACCATGAATCAACCCTCAACATCCTCAACAGTCGAAAAGGATCATTTGGCACTTTGGTGGCCCCTTTGGCCCAAAGCCCCCAGAAACATATGCATTCTTTGTCAAACCTGTGTTTTTACCCAAATTCTAAGTTCCTTTTTCATCCTTTCTCAGTGGATTCTCAGTGGTTTTCTCCAGCACTTGCTCCACATGGGTCGCGACAACTGCACCTCCAGCCGTCGCATCTCCAGCAGCAGCTCCTCCGCCGTCGCAGCTCTGCCACGACGCAGCGTACACCGCGGTGAGTCCGGCGGAACGCGCGCCGTGGCGGTGAGCAAAGGCCCGAAGCCTCGGGCGCTTCTCTTTGCGGGGGAGACCCCGAAGGCCAGGAAGACCTGGTGAATTGATCTGCTGAACTGCTGCCCCTGCAGAATGCGAATTGAACCATGTGGCGCCAGAACCCGGCCACGCGCCAGCATTTCGGGAAGGAGGAACCCCGGATAACCCCGGGCGCCATGGGCCGTGGGCGCCCGTGTTCTGGGTGGCCCTGCAGGTCTCATCGAGAATCTCGGATGCGACACCCCATCCGATGGCACCCACCTCTCGGATTCGACGTTCCGGTGCAGGTCTCCCGTTGACCATCCTGCCGAACCTTCACCAAGCTGACGACCATGGCTGTCGGACACTTCACTGACGTTTGCGCGAGCTCAGGAGCTGGAGACACTGAGCTTCATGGAGATCTCCTGCATGTCTTTCAGCACCTGCCCGCCATGTCACTTCTTCACAGGGCCAGGAAACCTGCGCAACATGTGCTAGGTCTAAACATGCCCAACATGTCAGGTCTGACCTTAGCCTCTCATGCCTTTGAATCACCGGGAACACAGCCGCCACCTGGGAACACAGCCGCCACTGCTTCACCGTCTCCAAAATGTTCAAGACCTGGGCATCTTGACCCCAAAGATGATTGAAGACCCATGATGGGCAGAACCCAGCAGAATTTCACAGGCAGGGTAGCGATGGATGATCATGTGGCCAGACCGATGGACAAAGCCCGTAGAGGCATACCATTTTTGGGAGTGTTGGACCCACACTCTAGATTCGGGATTCCAAGGACCAGGTGTGAGAGCTCTTCGGCAAATCGGTGGGGTGCACTTTGAGACATGCTTCAAACGCATCGTTTACGCCTGTGCATCGCATAATGCTGGTTGCTCGTTGATATCCAAAACCACCCCAGATAGAACCAGATTTGTACCCTAGCAATATCAACCAACTGGGCGTCACCAACGACCACTCCAATCAAAACAGGTTCGATTCTCAACCCGGTGACCCACCCTCCTTGCTTCGCCATGGCAAAAGCGCACTTCTTCCTCTCACTCGCTGCGCCCCAAGGAGCTCCATTGAAGCAAACCGCATCGGCCACCTTCCATGACCTCAGGCC